AAATAGCAATGGTCATCTTGCCATATAGGACAAGTGAAAATTTGTGTATGCAATAATTTCGCCAAAATCATTCTGAACCTAACGAAAAAATATGTTTCACTGTGTTTGTTTAGTATTAAATTATTGTAAACAAACTAAAATATATTTAGTTGGGTTAGGTTAAAATAAATTGTTCGTGTTATAATAAGGTTAGGTAAGTTTTCTAAGTTCCTTTTGGTGCAAAATTATAAATTTTTACATCATTAATGAAAAATATATATCTTTAAAAGTATAAGAGAAAATTTAGAAAGGACTTAATTTTAAATGAGTTCTTGCTAAATGACCAGTTTTAATATTCGGCACGACATTATATATATATATATATAAATATATATATATATATATATATAATATATATATTATATATATATATATATATATATATTATATATATATATATATATAATATATATATATATATATATATATATATAATATAACAAAAACTCCATAATGTGATAATCTGCCTCAGTGCTAACGTTACCCGTACTGCTGAGTTTGAAAGGGTAACACCAGGATTCATAAGAACATAACACTGCAACAGGCCTACTGGCCTATGCAAGGCAGGTCCAATTCTCCCACCGGCTTAAGCCAATGCCTTGACCTAGTGAGGTCAGACACGGCATCCGACCTAGTAGCACAAGCTAGTCAGGTCCAACTCACACCTACCCACACCCACTCGTGTATTTATCCATCCTATTTTTAAAATTACACAACATCTTAGCTTCTATGACAGTACTCGGGAGTTTGTTCCACTCATCCATAACTCTATTACCAAACCAGTGCTTATATCCTTCCTGAATTTGAATTTTTCTAATTTAAAACCATTGCTGCGAGTCCTGTCTATGTTAGATATTTTTAGCATGCTATTTACATCCCCTTTATTTATTCCTGTCTTCCATTTATACACATCAGTCATATCCCCCTAATTCTACGCCTTTCTAGAGAGTGCTGATTCAGGGCCCTCAACCTATCCTCATAGGAAAGATTTCTGATACATGGGATCAACTTTGTCATCCTCCTCTGTACGTTTTCCAGTGCATTTATATCCATTCTGTAATATGGTGACCAGAACTTTGCAGCATAATCTAAAAGGCCTAACCAAGATATATAGAGTTGAAAACAACCTGAGGACTTCTATTATTTATACTTCTAGATATGAAGCCAAGGATTCTGTTAGCTTTATTGCGAACACTTATGCACTGTTGTCTTGGTTTCAGATTACTGATAACCAGAACTCCTAAATCCTTTTTGCAATCCGTAATATTAAGATCTACATTATTTAGTTTATATGTGGTGTGGTTATTTTCATTTCCAACATTTAGAACTTTGCATTTGTCTATATTAAACTGCGTCTGCCACTTCTCCAACCACTGCATCAGTCTATTAAAATCATCTTGGAGTGCTCTAATGTTCTCATTAGAATGAATTGGACGGCCTACTTTGGTGTCATCAGCAAATTTGCTTATGTCGATATTTATTCCCTCATCTATGTCGTTTATGTAGATTGTGAACAACAAGGGGCCCAACACTGACCTCTGGGAAACACCACTTGTGATGTGCTGCTTATTTGTCAACCATGCCTCTACTAGGGAAAAAAATCCTCCTATTCCGTGTGCCTTAAGTTTTCTCAACAGCCTCTGATGTGAAGCTCTATCGAAAGCCTTTCTGAAGTCCATATACACAATATCATATTCAGTACCTTGATCTACCTCCTCAAATTCCTTAATGAAGAAGGTTAGTAAATTTGTAAGACAGGAACACCCCTTTGTAAAACCGTTCTGAGATGGTTACGAATTGCTTCGGCAATTATTGATTCCATATATTTACCAACTGTAAAGGTAAGGCTTATTGGTCTATAGCTCGAAGCTAAGGACCTGTCACCTTCCTTGTAAATAGGTATTACATTTGCCATTTTTCCACTTGTCTGGCTCTATACCAGTCTGTAGTGATATATTGAAAAGATTAGCCAAAGGTATGTTAAGTTCCTCTTTACATTCCTTTTAAACCCTTGCAAACAGTTCATCAGGACCTGGGGATTTGTTAGGTTTTAATTTCTCTATTTGTCTGAGGACCATGTCACTAGTTACCTTATAGTGCATTGTTTATTATCTGGAATTTCGCTAGTATCTTCCTGAGTAAAAACTAAGAGGAAGTAGGCATTGAAAAGTTCACACATTTCCTTATCACTGTCAGTGATTTGACCTGAGTTACTCTTAAGTGGGCCTATCTTGTCCCTAATCTTACTTTATACCTAAAAGAACCCTTTTGGGTCAGTCTTCGAATCCCTTGCGATTTTAACCTCATAATCCTTTTTTTGCTTTTCTTATTCCCTTTTTTATTTCGCTCTTTAATTGAATATATTGATTTCTTAACTGCCCATCCCCTCTTTTGATACAGCTATTTATGCCTCTCTTTTCACCAGTGAGATGTTTTAATCTATTGTTTATCCATTTGGGATCATTTTTGTTAGATCTAATTTCCCTACTCGGAACAAAAGTCACCTGGTCAGCCAGCACTATTCTATGAAATACGTCATATTGGCAAGCAAACCTACCTACCTGAGACATAGTAAGGTCGTCCCAATTTAGCCCACCCAGGTAATTTCTCATACCCATGAAGTCGGCCAAGCGGAAATCTGGGACAGCAACTTGATTGCAGTTATCTGGGTAATTCCATGATATACTGAAACTAAATGATTTGTGTTTGCTTTTCCCTAGCTTATCACTAACATCATTCTATTGATTCTTTGTTGGCAAGAACCATGTTAAGCAGATTGTTTCCTCTAGTTGGTTTTGTCACAAACTGTTTTAAAAAGCAATCTTGAACCGCATCAAGAAAGTCACTGGACTCAAGATTTCCTGTTACATTGTTCCAATCAGTTTGACTGTGAGGGAAAAGTAGGCGTGAGTGGGGTTACGGTTGTTCAGGCAACCAGGAACCATTAGAGAGTTACGCCGCACCCCCCCCCCTCCCTCTGGCGGGCTGAGTGAAACTAGTTCTTGGTGTCTGATTTGTTTAAATTTCTACTCTTGGTAAGTATTGACCTTACCTGGTGTGGGTTGAGGTTTAGAGAGTCACTTCACCTCCACTCTTCTCCTAATCAGCTCTGTTCCTGGCGTGGTCATCCAGGGTAGACGCCAGATAAAGGAGCAAGACATTTGTTAATGGGACTTACTAACATTATTGGACTACTACTGGCCCTTACCTGTTCTACTTGTGGTGCTCCAACCAAGTGGTAGAGGAGATTCCTATACATCGGACTATTACCATCCGCCCAGGATAACCTACATCTTTAACATCAGAGATCTGTCTAGGGCCTTACCTACTCCTGCCCGACTACAGCACCAGAGGCCATTTTTATTATATTTAAATTTTAAGTAAAATCCTCAAAAGTCATTATTCTTATTTTTCCTAGAGTCGTTTTTTTTTTAATTATTTTTCCATTAGTATTTTGTACAGATGGAAGGCGTTCCACTGAAAATGGCTACCTTGCCAGGATACGACTCTTGAAGCAACATCGTCCTGATGGTTCAACTGGTTGTGAGTATAACATTTAAAATGGAAAAGGGTGAGTTAGTTGAGGTGTCAAGTCATTACTGGTAGTCTGGTTGACTTACCGTTGTTTGGTTCTAAGGTTTGGTTTAGAAGTTTACCTATTTGTTGGACCTGGGGAACTTTGATAATAACCCCTCCTGTGTGAACCATGTGTATTTAGCTTAGTGAAGGCTATTGAGCCCACAAGTGTATTCTTCCAGGGAGAAATATTTAGTTCATTTTCTACTTTGGGAGGTTTAAAGTGTGCGGACTGTCCCTCTTTTGTAACAGACGTTCCTGTTAGTTTTAATTAAGTCAGTTGAAGTTTGGTGCATAACATTTCTTTTTTCAAGATGGATTCTTTAGATTTCTGGTTGAAAGCTGGAAAGGAAATGGGATTTACTGGACAGAACCTTGATAGTTATATTACTGCTAAAATGGCTATTGAACAGAAAAAGGAACAGGAAAGACTAGCTCGGGAAGAGAGAAAGGAACAGGAAAGACTAGCTCGAGAAGAGAAAAAGGAACAGGAAAGACTAGCCCGAGAAGAGAGAAAGGAACAGGAAAGACTAGCTCGAGAGGATAAACTAGAACAGGAAAGGATAGCTAGAGAAGAAAGAGTTCAGGCGAGAGAGGTAGCCTTCAAAATGAAGGAAATTGAAGAACAGGCTAAGCAGAGGGATTTAGAACAGTCAAGGTTGGAATTAGAAGCCAAGAAGATAGAACTATCTAAGCAGAAAATAGATGAAGGGGTACTAAAATACCCTTCCCTAGAACCAAATATTAGTATGCCACAGATGCCACCTTTTTCAGAACAAGATGACATAGCGGCATATATTACTCAATTCGAGAGTACTGCCACTCTCTGTGACTGGCGATCAGATTCTTGGGCTACTAGGCTTAGCTTACTACTGTCAGGTTCAGCATTAAATGTCTATTCCACCCTACCCTCTGATGTTATTTCTAGTTATAGCCTGCTGAAGAAAGCTATACTTCAGGCTTTCAAGAAAACCACTCATCATTACAGGTCTGAGTTTAGACACGTTAAAATAACTCCAGATCAAAATTATATGCAATTCTTAACAACACTTTTCAGATTATTTGATTCGTGGATTGATAGCGCTGAGGTCGACCACAGTTTCGAATCGTTACGAGACCTGATGGTAAGAGATCAATTCGGACCGTATAAAGTTGTGAAGGTCTGTAATAAGGTAGATTATGTATCACGTCAATATTTTGAAACGGTACCATCGTAGAGAAGTTAATCTTTGTTTAAACTCCTTTGACGAAGATACTACTTCTTACAGCGTGGCTACAAGTGGTGATTCGTAGAAGTGCAAAGTTTGTATTATAGATTACGAGTCCCTTACAGAATCGAAGGAACTACTGGATATCTTAACGGATGATCCATCACCAAAGAAGTCATGTCAACATCAACAACGAACTCTCAAATAAACAAAAGTCTCAAGTAAGTGCCTTAGTAAATACATTTTCTGACGTAATCAGAGATACCAGGACTTACCACCACTGTTGCACACAAGACTGAATTGTCAGATCATGAACCAGTAAGGCGGAAAATCTACCCTGTTCCCGTTCACTTACGGAAAAGTTTTGAAAATGAGGTTGACAAACTATTTAACTTAAATATCATAGAACCTTCGAAATCAGCTTTCTGTTCCCCAGTTATGGTTAAGAAACCCGATAATTCTTACAGACTGGCACAAGATTTTCGTTATTTAAATGCTATCACTAAATGGGATGCAGAACCCATGCCAGTAATCGATCATGACTTGTATAAATTCCATGACTGTAAATTCTTCTCGGAGTTAGATATCTCACAAGCATACCATCAAGTACCATTACACCCAGACTCTAAACCATACACTGCTTTTCCTACTCATAGAGGACTAATGCAATATCGCACAATGCCTTTCGGCTTGCTTACCTCGTGTGCCACGTATATTAGGCTTATGAGAATAGTTCTTTCTGATCTAAAGAATGTCTCGGTGTATTTTGATAATATTTATATCATGACACAAGTCTGGGAAGACCATATAACAACACTGTCGCTCGTTTTGAAAAGACTAAGAACTCATGGCCTTACAGACAAACCAGGTGCAATACCTCGGGTTAATTATCTCTGACAACAATTTATCACCTCTTCCTAATAAGACTAAAGCTGTTTTAGAAAGTAAATTCCCTGCTACCAAAAAGTTATTAAGAAGTTTCCTTGGATCTGTAAACTTCTATAGAAGTTTTGTACCAAATTTAAGTAGTTTGACTTCAGTTCTTACAAACTATTTAAAGAAGGGTGTCAAGGAACCTCTTAGTTCTGATGAAGCCATCCAAAGCTTCGAAGAAATTAAAAGAATATTTTCCAACCCCCCTGTCCTAGAAGTACCCGATATTAATAAAATATTTTGTCTCCGAACAGATGCCTCCCATTCTGAACTCGGAGCTGTACTGCTTCAATATTATGAGGAGACACCTTTCCCAGTATCTTTCGCCAGTAAGAAGCTTCTGCCCAGAGAAGAAAGATATTCCACTGTGGAGAAAGAATGTTACGCATTAGTATGGGGTATAAGTAGATTCAAATACTACCTATACGGTAAACCCTTTGTGCTTGAAACAGATCACAAGCCACTGATGTACTTGGAGAACTTTAAAGGGTCAAATAGCAGACTCTTGAGATGGGCTCTGGCTATTCAGCCCTATAAGTTTAAAGTTATATATATTTCTGGCTCTGAAAACCACTTTTCAGATTGGTTGAGCCGAGTTTGTACATAGTTCTTTTCCCTCTGTTCATTTACTTATTGACTCTGTCCATAAGTTTTGGAAGGGGGTATTGTGAGGGAAAAGTAGGCGTGAGTGGGGTTACAGTTGTTCAGGCAACCAGGAACCATTAGAGAGTTAAGCTGCACACCCCCTCCCCTCTGGCGGGCTGAGGTGAAACTAGTTCTTGGTGTCTGATTTGTTTAAATTTCTACTCTTGGTAAGTATTGACCTTACCTGGTGTGGGTTGAGGTTTGGAGTCACTTCACCTCCACTCTTCTCCTAATCAGCTCTGTTCCTGGCGTGGTCATCCAGGGTAGACGCCAGATAAAGGAGCAAGACATTTGTTAATGGGACTTATTAACATTATTGGACTACTACTGGCCCTTACCTGTTCTACTTGTGGTGCTCCAACCAAGTGGTAGAGGAGATTCCTATACATCGGACTGTTACCATCCGCCCAGGATAACCTACATCTTTAACATCAGAGATCTGTCCAGGGCCTTACCTACTCCTGCCCGACTACAGCACCAGAGGCCATTTTTATTATATTTAAATTTTAAGTAAAATCCTCAAAGTCATTATTCTTATTTTTCCTAGAGTCGTTTTTTTTTTTTTTTTTAATTATTTTTCCATTAGTATTTTGTACAGATGGAATGCGTTCCACTGACATGACTAAAGTTAAAATCTCTCAATATCACAACATTTTCATATCTAGACGCCTTATGAATTTTGTCCCATAGCAGCCTACCACACTCTCTATCAAGGTTTGGGGGCCTATAAATCACACAAAATTATTTTTTCACGACCTTCGAAAAATTGTAGCCAAACATTCGTGTCCAATGTTTTCAAAATCTTACATCTTGTCTAACACAACAATTTAAATTTTCTCTGACATCGCCACTCCACCACCCTTTCTGTTCACCCTATCAGTGTGGAATAGTTTATAACCCTGTATATTGCATTCAGAAGGCATTTCTCTATCTTTCAAGTTGAACCAGGTCTCTGTTATAGCAATAATATCTATAGTACCTGCACTTGCAAGTAATCTTAGCTCATCTATCTTATTTCTTAGACTCCTACTATTTGTATAGTAAACCTTAAGGGAGCTAGTCACTCATTGCCCTCTACTCTCTCTCACTGTTTGTTGATCAGTTGCTTTGCCTTTACTAGCAACTTTATTTTGAATATTGTCTTTTAAACATATCCCCGGGGTATCCTGGTAATAACTGATGTTTTCAACCCTAATATTGCAGTCTGATTGTTTCCCACAAACACCCTTACCTCTATAATGTATCAGTTTAAATTCCTAGACAAGTCATCAATTACCCCCTCAAGGGAATTGGTTAATGCAACCAACCCAACCCCAGAGAGATGAACTCTATCCCTTGCATACATATCATGCTTGCCATAGAATTTGTCCCAGTTATCAATGACTGGGATTGCAAGTTCCTTACAGTACCTGTCTAGTCAGCAATTTATACCAGTTGCCCTATACATCCATTCATTACCCACTCCCCTTCTAGGCAAGATGTTACATATGATTGGGATCCCTCCCTTAGACCTGACAACTTATATGGCTGACCTGTACTTATCCAGCAGCTCCTGTCTCCTGCCTTTCCTGATGTCATTTACACCAGCACTAAGATAATAGGCTTGTTCCCATTACCTGACATATTATTATCCAACCTTCTGACTGTCACCAACACCAGCTTCTGGAAGGCACACCCTCTGACTTTCCTATCTGTGTTACATATATCTTATCTGAGAATCTCATACAATTAGAATATTCTTACCTTGATTAGCAGGGGAGTCAGTGGTACCTTTAACCTCACTAGCAACTGAAGTACTCTTGTCCTGGAGAACAGAGAATAGATTTCCTACCGTCACATCTTCATTACCCTTCCTTATCTTCCTTCTTCCTGAACTGTGAACCACTTGCCACTTGAAGCGGCTGCAACTCTTTAGCTAACTGCTGGTATCCTTTTCCTCACCATCTCTCACTCGCTCCCAAACCCATCTAGGCAAAGCTTCAGTCTCCTATTTTCCTCCTGAAGAAGTAGAACCTCCTTCTTCAACACTTTAACCTGAGATTCCAAAACACTACAGCAGGCCATGGTGCTCAGTAACACCCCAGCTAATTCCCAGACAGCTTAGGACAGTGACCACACGTGACCTCTGACCTCAACATGAAGTATACATCTTGTGGTAGAGACTGGTTTAACATTACTGCCTCTTGGTATTTTGTTCACGGTATGGATGAAGTATTTAGAATAAATTAAAGCCACAACTTTACATTTACTCACACCACCCAGGAGCAACTGTGTGTGTTTCTTTCGCAGCTGAGAGCAACACTTTGCCTGCCTCAGCTAGTATATTACCAGCAGCTGCTCATTCCACTGACATAACAGGTGTGTGAGGGTAGGGTGAATGTAAATGGTATACTGGGGTGGGTGTACTGGGTGGTAGTAATGGAGTGAAGTGTTCGTAGATGTGGTGTACAATGGCAGGTGTAATATTGAGGGGTGTACTGGATTCCGGGGAGCTGTTAAGTTGGGGTGTACAGTGGTGGGATGTACAAGGTTCAGAAGTTCAAGGGTGGGGGGTACAAGAGTTGGGGTACAGGGCTGCAGCTTCTGAGTTTCCTGAGTGTGTATTAATTTTATTAGTTTTTTCCTAAAGAACGACCTTTAAATGGTTCCTAGAATATTTTTTTTTTTTTTTTTTTTTTTTTTTTTACTTTCCTTCCTCAAACTTTTCTTTGATATTTTACTCATAACACGATAAGGCGTCGTCCTATCAACTTCATACTGCCAATGGTGATGTACGGTATTTAGCGTGAGGATTACAGAGCCACGGCTTGCTTCTGCAGTGTTTTAAAATCTGAGGTTAAAGTGTTGAAGGAGGCGGTCCAACTTCTCCAGGAGGAAATTAGGAGTCTGAAGGTTCACCTGGATGGGATGTGAGTGAGGGGAATGAGTGGGTGAGGGAAATGAGGCTACTAGCAGTGAGGAGCAGTCTGGCACTCGCTGCGAGGTGATTGAAGGTGGTGAGGACGAAAAGGAGCAGTCCAGCACCTGCTACAAGTGGTGAGTGGTTCCCAGTCATGGGAGGATCATCAAAATAAGAAAAGTTGAGAAGGAAGATTTGAAGGTAGGAAATCGCTTCTCTGTTCATTGGATATATGGATCATGCTTTCTGTAATAGGAATTAGAAGGTGAGACAGTGTGTGTGTTTCCCTGGAGCTGGTGTTGGTGACAGTCAACGGGTTGGATAATATCACATCAGGTAATGGGAACAAGCCCATTATCTGTCTCAGTTCTGGTGGAAATGATGTTGGGAAGGGTAGAAGAGAAGAGCTGGAAACAAGCAGGTTGCAACACTTGGGTTGGAAACAGTAAATGTATAAAAGGCATTCAGCATGAAGTTATAAATAAAGACAATAGATCAGGTCAGCAGACAAAGGGGGACAGCAGAGGGCAGCAAGGGACTAGCTCCCTTAAGGTTTACTATACTAATAGCAGGAGTGTAAGAAATAAGATAGATGAGCTAAGATTAATTGCAAGTGCAGGAAACATAGATATTATTGCTATAACAGAGACCTGGCTCAATCTGAAAGATAGAGAGATGCCCTCTGAATGTCACATACAAGGCTATAAATTATTCCACACTGACAGGGTCAACAGGAAAGGTGGT